TTTAGGGAGATTTTTTCACCACTGATTTTATCACCCATGGTGACGCTCATGAGGGCACGGACCCGGATTTTCTGTGAAGCTGCTTTGTGACAATGCCTGCTGTAAAATAAATAAATAAACTTTGGCTTAAAGGCTTTGATTCCTCCATTTCTCACTTTTTTATCTCAGGATCTCTTCCTCGTGTCCTCAGGGGATGAAAGGATATAAAGAAAAGGAAAGGATAATGGACAACTAAAGATATAAGCTCCTCCCCTACACTGTCAGAAAAAAAGGTACAGAACTGTCTCTGGGGCAGTGCCCCTCTTGTCACTGGGGTGGAACCCTCAAGGGTCCATCTCAGTACCTTCAGTCAGGGAACATAACTGAACCATAATCCACTGAAATGATATGTTCTAAGCTGTACTGACTCCCGTCTCGTCTCCAGGCTTTTATTTATACTGTTCTGTTTTAAAACATTCGGTTATGAAAAGGTACAAATATGAACTTTTCACCTGGAAAAACTTATTTAAGGTTCACAATCGGGCCTTAAAACCACTGTTGTACCTTTGAGGGAACATTTACAGTGTTTGTACCTTGATGAATGAAAAATGTACCTGCAAAAGAACCTTTATTTCTAACAGTGTACTTTTTAGAAACAGGGAGGGGTGAGCAAAATATTTTTTAGATAATATATATATTTTGCTTCTTTTTAAAGTTCAAACATGGTGCTAATAAGCTTCACTTATTCATATATAAAAGAAGACATTTTACATGTGTCCAGAATGATGTGAAAGTTGTACAGTACCAAGAATTCTACTAAATAAAAATAATGAATATTTGCATTATATTTTAAAGTATTAATTTCAGTAACTCCACAAGTGTGCAGCATGTTTGTGGAACTGCAATTTCATCTGTGCAATAGCTCAACCGGTCTTACTGGTGCCATTCATATGAGGAAATACAGCCTTTATTTTTAAAAACACTTTGTCATGTTTGAGAAGTCACACAAGGTCATTTTAGATCATTTATTGGTCTTAAAATCCACAATAATCGCACCTCTTGCACTAGAATAGCATTGCTAAGCACCTTTACACATCAAATGGAAACAATATACAGACACAGTTGTCAAAAAATGAAATCCAGCAATGAAACAATAGTGAGTTTGTAAAAGGTTTAATCGAAGCTCACAAGAATGTGGAACATGAGAGTGAAAATCGTGTAACCTGCACTACCTTGGTATGCTATGGCTGCTCGATGAAGGCACGATTATTTTAGTCAATACTGAGATTATGATTATTTAACGTGATTACTCATTGACTTTGGAAACATCGTGTATTTATTCAACTTCCAAAAACCTTTTTAACAGAATTTGCGATGATTAAACAAATTGTTCATATTGCCTTGGGCGTCACTGTGTAAGGAATCTTGCACAGTAATTGTTGTTATTTTTCATTGGACTCCTTGAAACCAAAGTGTTTCCAAACAGCTGAATTAGATTCACATTTCTTGTTGACCAAAGGTCCTCTTTCTGTAGTCTTTGCTCGAGCTGAACTGAACATACCATGGCCTGGCTGAGAGTGAGGGACTAAACAAGGGCACCACTGCGAAATGGAATATGGCACAAAAATCATAATTGTAAATAAAATCTGATTAATCGTCCAGTCCTACTTTAAAGGAAGTGAAATGCAGTAAAATCTTCATGGTATAAGAATAGCAAGAAAAAATGTGTGACTTGTGCTAAAATAATATAAGCAAGCACCTTAAGCTCAACTTAAACTGTCCTTTTAACTTAAAAAGTGCCATTTTATACTTAAAAAGTGTCATAATATACTTAATACGTGTCATTATATACTTAAAGAATCAACATTTCATCATTAAAAAAATGTCATTTCATACTTGTGTCATTATATACATTATATACATAACAAAACTCTAGTACAGTGTTACTATGTAGCTTCATAGGTTTTAAAAAATGTGTAGGAAGCTGTAAAAAAGCCAAATGAGCTCAGAATGATGAATAGTGCTAGAGATGACTAGGAAAGCTGACCTGCATCATGAATGAAGTCATAATTATGGATGTACCGATAAGGGAATGGCTGATGCTGATATCTGATTTTTTTCATGTATATATCTGCAGAGGCCGATACATAAACATTTGTAGAATGTAAAAATTGACACTATATCTGCTCAGATTAACATTACAGAAAAATATGAAATTTATTTCTGAAGGGTTGTGGAGATATTTTAGTGCAGTAGCCCAAATATTCTTCTCTCATGGAGGATAAAACAGTGATTTGAAATGTTGCTCATCTGTCCAGCACTGATATGATTCTGATATCATTGTGCATCACTATTTGTAATAAAATTAATATCCAGGAAGCAATGCATTTGCAAAGTGTTGATCAAATCTCGAAACAAATACTTTAAAGTAAGAAATAACAATAAATATATAGTGACTTACTGAATACTAGTCAACCATATAAAATAACCTTTTGACATCTTGTTCTATAACTTTTTATTATTATTGTTGTTTTGTTTTTTGTTGTTGTTATTGTTATTATCATTGTTGTTGTTGTTGTTAGACTTATTATGTATGTTATCCCTAAATTCTATTATTGATCATTAGATATTACTGAACACAAAAAAGTATGAGTAATTCCACATCTTTGCATAAATATGTATATAATTTGCGCAACATGTCTTATCTGTGCAGTAGGCCTGCCTGTCTTGCTGAGTAAATACAGCCTTTACTGTACAAGACCCGCTTTACTGATGTCAGATAATAACACCGCATTCTTTATAGGCTCACATATTTAATCTCCATTTGAAACTGACACAAAAACAGAAAATAAAGAACCGTTCGTTCAAAAATACAGTCTAACAATGAAACACAAGTAAGCTTATAACAACTGAAACCAACTTGAATGTGGACCATAAGTGCTCATGAACTCGTACCACGGACGGGCCTGAAGGTAGATCAAACAGGCCAAGCTGAAGTGGTTTAACCGGCACTGCTTTACGCCTCAAATGAAGTGAAATGCTACAGGAGAAAAATATTCATGGTATGAGAAATTCACAAAAGAACAGTTCTTTGTTTCATTTCAGAGAAACTGAGGAACGATCTCAGACTTTGGAATGTTCCCTTATCAAAGCAGTGGTGATGGCATTGACAGCATCATCGTCAGGCATTTGCTCACCCTGGATTTTTCATCAGATGATTCTTTCCAAGACTGCAATGTTTGTACAGCTGCAAACTCAGAAACCGCCGATGATATATGATCTACAGCACCTTCTGCTGGACAAAGAGAGAAGTAACTGGGCCCCAGCACCCCTGCTGGAGGGAGTGTGGATCAATGCCCAGGGCCATTTAACATCTAGGATCTTGGGCCTTAACACTAATGTGTTATTGATTCTCTCTGTATCTCTGTATCAAAGAACCACTTCAGCACAAAATGGTTCTAAATAGAACCATTCCCTTTACTGAAGAACCCTTAAAGAACCATTGTTTTAAGAGTGTGGAACTCATGGTTCTAAATAGAGCCATTATCTTTATTGAAGAACCCTTGAAGAACCATCTTTTTAAAGAGCGTAGAACTCATGGCTCTAAATAGAACTGTTCCCTAAAGAACTCTTGAGCAGCTTGAACATCTTTTTAAGAGAGTAAGACAAAAGCAGAACCCTTTTTGGTGCTTTAGGTTCTATATAGAACCATTTACAACACATTCTCCATCAATCTGAAGAATGATTTAAGCATTCAAATATCTCTTTAAAGAACTCATGGTTCTAAATAGAACCATTCCCTTCAAAAAGAACCCTTGAAGAAACATCTTTTTAAGAGTGTAGAAAAACATACTATGTCTGAATTACTACTACTCTTAGAAGTCTGTTGCCATGGTAATGCTTGTTAGCTGGTACAAAAGTTTGGGCACCCCCAGTCAAATGACATGTTGATTGATGTTGAGTGAAGATAAGTTAACACATCCTCCACGAGGAACACACGAAGGCCTAAATATGTCATCTGTCTGCTCATTTTAGTGCACAGCTTCTATTGTGTAACATACTGGGGAAAAAATAAAACACAAAATACAAAGTGTGCCATAACTTTTGCACAGGCCACATTTTATGTTGTATTTATTTTTCCAATCTGTTAAATTCAGCAAATGAACAATAATTGTGCATTAAAGCGTGCAGAAGTGTGTTCTCTGTAGAGTGTGCTGTCACTTCTTTTCATCAAGAAAATCAACAAAAGCATGTAATTAGTCCAGGAGCGTCCAGTCACTGCATAAGACTGAACTGGGGGCGGAGCTAAACAACAATCACCACTCATATTTAAAGTTCCAGAGCCGGTTTAAAGGGAGCCTGGCCTCTTTCTGTTTCTCCTGTTACACTGATGAACAGCAGAGGGCGCACTTGAACAAGTCCTCAATGAATGGGGGTGAGTGGAGCTAAACTAACAAAGACAGTTAAAAACACGCACACACACACACACACACATTTTCTAAGCCGCTTATCCTTCTGGATCGCGGGGGGAGCTGGAGCCCATTCCAGCAGTCATTGGCCAGAACACCCTGGACAGGTCACCAGTCCATCGCAGGGCAGACAGACAGAGTTAAAACAGTTTCTAACTGCTTGTCCAGGACCTTCCTTTAATTTTAGAAAGTAGAATGATTTATTTCACTAAAACAGCAAAGAAAACTCACCTGTATATTTACTTTTTACACAGTAAACAGGCTTTGGGCAGCAGGACACTAGAATACTGATACTAAGAGCTAATAAGAATGTAAATTAGGGTTTGCTTACACTTTTGTAACTGTAAGCTGACACGCATCACCATGACCACAGACTTAAACGACAGTCCCCGCCTATATTTAAGGTTTTTCTACGCCGAGGCGCTGCTTTGGAAGCGAAGCCACGCCCCCTTGCAGTTCTTCTCTGAGTCCTGCAGGGGCGCTGGAGAGCAGCGCTGAAGTGCTGGGAGCGCTACACGCTCTATCAGCACTCAGAGTGCAGAGAGAGGAGGAGGCACTGCTGCTCCCATTCGCTGCTCATGCTGTCCACGAGTAGCAGCCACCTTTCCGTCACCTGGAAAGTACATTTCCGTACATTTTAATCACTTTTTGGAGCAGATCTTTGGAGCACTCTGACTGAGTCTCCTCGTCTTCTGCATCATGCAACTTTTGCTGTGGGGTTCAGCTCTGAAAGTGGGGTTTCTGGACTCGATCGCTTGGACGTGAATACGGACTCAAATGCATGAGTAATAAGGGAGATCAGCGAGCAGCAGCTGGAGGAGATGCGCTCTCCAGAGGGACTCGCCTTGCTCCTCTTCAACGGGACGGTGTGCCTGGTAAGCAGAGCCTTTCCAACTAGTTCTGAAGCCCTACTTGCTGGAAGGTATGATCTTCAAACGAGCATTAGTTATTAATGATAACACGTGGGACGGATCCATGGGGTTGGATCATTAGTTAAAGGGCACCAGTCCAGGATTTTACCTTTTCCTGAAGGACTGAATCTTCTCATTAGAGCTGGGGGTCATCAGTCATATCACACATAGCCCTCCTGTGGTCAGGGGTTTGGGGGCAAAGGGGTCACGCTGGAAAAATCTGCCAACTGTGTGGATTTTTACTTTAGTTGAGAAATGTATTGACCAGGGAAGCCCAGCTGTGGTCTTTGAGGGAAATGACCACACAGAGTACATTAAAAAGGGATTTAATTGCAGTTTATTAGCAGGGTTGGGGAAAATACTTTAAAATTGTAATGATGGCTCAACACTGAATACATTGCCCTAAATGTATTCAGTAACATATTCCATTACAATACATAATAAAGTAACATATCACTGTTGTGGGAAGAAAACCTCGTATCTTAAAAATGAAAACTTTACAGGAGAAGGAAAAAACCTACTTTACTTTTAATGTAAGCCAATGGAACCAGACTTTTTTCCAAGTCATTTTGGGTCGTTTATTTTGGTCCATTGTTTATGAAATTTACACACAATGTAAAGAACAATGGACATTTTCATTTTATGTCAAAAACTGAAAAACGACAAAAATGGAGATACAAGGTTTTCTTCAGACAGCAGCAAATACATTTAGAATACATACTGATAAGGCACCTGGGAAAAACTCTGCTGTTGTAATTTTATTTCATTCTCACCTTCCCCCCTCTATTGCGTGCGAGCAGTTTTCTTTGTGTAATTTGCCCTTAATATGTTTACAGAAAATTCCACTTATGATTTGTATGAAGTTACAAAATTCTCTGTTTATTTTCTTAGTCCAGCACAACACTGATGCTAAACTTATCACTCGTAAACATGTCCACTGCCGAATCATCCCTCAAAAGAGTTTAATAATGCGTAGATTAATAACTGATCACCACACTGAGTTATCAATCTACTCAGGCTTTAGCAGAGCTCAGTAACACTGAGATTAATAACTGATCACATTGATTTATCAGTCTACTCAGGCTTTAGCAGAGCTCAGTAACACTGAGATTAATAACTGATCACATTGATTTATCAGTCTACTCAGGCTTTAGCAGAGCTCAGTAACACTGAGATTAATAACTGATCACATTGATTTATCAGTCTACTCAGGCTTTAGCAGAGCTCAGTAACACTGAGATTAATAACTGATCACATTGATTTATCAGTCTACTCAGGCTTTAGTAGAGCTCAGTAACACTGAGATTAATAACTGATCACACTGATTTATCAGTCTACTCAGGCTTTAACAGAGCTCAGTAACACTGAGATTAATAACTGATCACATTGATTTATCAGTCTACTCAGGCTTTAGCAGAGCTCAGTAACACTGAGATTAATAACTGATCACATTGATTTATCAGTCTACTCAGGCTTTAGCAGAGCTCAGTAACACTGAGATTAATAACTGATCACATTGATTTATCAGTCTACTCAGGCTTTAGCAGAGCTCAGTAACACTGAGATTAATAACTGATCACATTGATTTATCAGTCTACTCAGCTTTAACAGAGCTCAGTAACACTGAGCAGTTCATTTCCAGCTGCTGGTGTTCTCAAAACACTGGACTGACCAGCCCAGAGTCCAGACTTCAACATCATTGAATGTGTTTGGGATTACTGTGATTGGAGAAGCAGAAAATGTAAAACCAACTTGTAAGACTGAAGTTTGGAGGAATGAAGGGTGGTGTCTGCACAGTTTTGCACAGTACACTCCTTTGCACTGTGTTGTATATCGCTGTTGTCGGAAGAAAACCTTGTACCTCTATTTTTGACATTTTTCAGTTTTTGACATAATCTGAAAATGTCTGTTGTCCTTTACACTGTGTGTAAATTTCATAAAGAATGGACCGAAAGAAATGGCCCAAAATGACTTGGAAAAAAGTCTGGTTCCATTAAAAGTAAAGTAGGTTTTTTCCTTCTCCTGTAAAGTTACCATTTTCGGAGATATGAGGTTTTCTTCCGACAACAGCGATATGTTTCTGACTGACCACTGACCAATAATGTGCAAATTTTGTGTAGAGACATGACTGTTCAGAAGTTTGGAAACATGACAATTGCTACTACAAAAATTGCTAGATACAAAAAAGGTATTTCATTTTTTTTGTTTAATAAAACATTTCATATTTTGGGGACCAGTAAGAAGTTACTAAATGATAACACACTAAAATTATCCACTGGTTATAACAGCTTCCTCTTGATTTGACAACCACTCTTCTAATATGAGACATTCTATTTCACATCTAAAAATTCTTAATATCGTTTACAGTTTCCTGCACATTATTTGAAAAGTACAAGCATTAGAATAAAATTATATTTATATATAGGCAAAAGAAAATGAACAGATAGATAAACTAACTGTTACTAAATATCTTTTACCCCTTTATGTCTTTGTTCCCTCCTTACTTTAGTCAGTTCTTGGCCACCAGAATGCCCAAGGCAGCTCATCTTCTGTCCAGTCTGAGCCAGTGGACGTTCGGTTCCAGAATGGAGCTGCTCTGTTGCCCAGGTGGAAACGATCCATCAACACAAAGTCTTCCAGCAGTCTGCTCCTGGAGCTCAATAGTCGCTTCCCAAAGGAGGAAAAGCAGGCGCAGAGGGAGTCCAAGGCCAGAGATGCTCGTCCTCAGTCATCGTCTTGGGCGAAACGGTGGCCCCTTGTGAAGACCGACAAGTTCCAAAAGCTGTTTGGCTGGGGCGACTTCTACTCCAACATCAAAACGGTGCGACTGAACCTGCTCATCACCGGGAAGATCGTGGACCACAGCAATGGAACGTTCAGCGTCTACTTCCGCCACAACTCCACAGGCCAGGGCAACGTCTCCGTCAGCTTGGTGCCACCAGCGAAGGCGGTTGAGTTTGACCTGGAACGGCAAAGTGTGGTCTACCCCAAAGACTCCAAGACTTTCACCTGCCGTGTAGACTACGAAAAGGTGGAGCGCAGCGAGCGCACCTCACTGTGCAGCTACGATCCATCAAAGACCTGCTTTCAGGGCCAGACGCAAAGCTACATTTCCTGGATCTGCTCCAGACCCCTCAGGGTCATCTGCATCTACGTCTCCTTCTACAGCACGGACTACAGGCTGGTCCAGAAGGTCTGCCCGGACTACAATTACCACAATGCAATGCCCTACCTGCCCTCAGGGTAAATGAGCATGCTGACATGGAGTAAATTGTATATATGACAATGAAAGGAAACTTTGAGGAGCATCAAAATAGGAGAAACTGGTCATGGAGTTTTGAGAATACATATACTACATATAAGACGTACAAGGATTTTTTATTTTCCACTCATTTAATGCATTCAGATTGAACAATGTCTCAATAACATGAATAATCCGGTTATGTTTCCCATTCGTGCATCTCATTCCTTAACATACTATTAAGAATTATATACATATGTTAAATAAATGTTTGTTTACAGTCCTATGCAAGAGTCTGAATGGTGAACAAAAAAATATAATTTGACCCAAAGTAGTCAAACCTTACAATACAGTACCAACAGTTATGTATAAAGTTATTTGTGCAGTGTTTATTTGTTCAAAAAAACACTAACATTAGAGTAAATAGAAATAAATAAATAAACCATGCCTTGTGATTTTCTCTGCCTGAGTGAGTTAGCTTGACCATTTTCAGAGCTGTCCTCAAGGAAGTCCAGTATTTACTGTTACCGGCGTGCAGAAGTCAGAACCCAAACCTGTGTTCCTCCAAATGTATTCTTCTGTACACTTTAATAACAAACTCTACTCTTTTAATGTTCATCTGTATTTTTTCCAATGTTATATAGTTTTAAACAGTTTTGGCTGCGTAAAACTTTTGCACAATAGCATTTTAGACTGTGTGTCGATCGATTTGTCATGAAATTTTGACAGACTGTAAACAGCAGCTGGCGTTTTCAATTTATATATACAGTCAGGTCTATAAGTACTTGAACAGTGACACAATTTTGGTCATTTCGCCTTTGTGGACCACCAAGATGTGGTCAAGATGTGCAGACTTTCATTACTCATTTAAGGGCTTTAATAAAAATATCACATTCACCATTTAGGAATTAAAGCCATTTTTACATAGTCCCTCCATTTTCACAGGCTTCAAAGTAATTGGACAAACTAACATACTTGTAAATACAAGGATTATTTTTAATATTTGGATGAGAATCCTTTGCAGTCAATGACAGCCTGAAGTCTGGAACTTATAGAAATCAACAAATGCTAATTTTCCTTCCTTGAGATGCTTTGCCAGCCCTTTATTGCAGCTGCTTTCAGTTGCTGCTTGTTTGTAGGTCTTTCTGCCTTCAGTTTTGTCTTCACTAAGTGAAAAGTATGCTCTGTACTACGACACGCTGTCCTATCAATTTTGCAGCAATTGACTGAATCAAAGCAGAAACTATAGCTGTATACACGTCAGAATTCATCCTCCTATCAGCAGTCACATGACCAATAAACACCAGTGACCCAGTTCTATTGGCAGCCACACAGGCTCACGCCATAACACTACCTCCACCATGTTTCATAGATAATGTGGTGTGCTTTGGATCCTTCCTTTCCTTCTCCATAGTCTTCTCTTTCCCTCATTCCGGTACAAGTTGATCTTGGTTTCCTCAATCCAAAGAACCTTGTTCCAGAACTTTAGATGTCTTCTAGCTGGTTTGCATCTTGAGGTAATTCCTCTGTATTTTCATTCATGAAGGCATCTCTCGATTATAGATCACTGTAGTCTAGAATGTGCTTGACTTGAGTAGATGTTGGGATCAGGTTTCTCTTCACCACAGAAACAATTATGCAATCATTGACTTTACCTGTCTTCTGGGGTCTTCTTGGCCTTTTGGGGCCTACTGAGCCCACAAGTGCATTCCTTCTTGATTTGGCCGCTCCTAAACTTTCGTTTGTTTTGTTTTTTCAGCCTAATGATGACCCTCTTCAACAACACTCAGAATCAACTCCAGAGCTTTTATCTCTTTAAATTTAACAGGGGGAGGGAACTGGCCACACCTGGCCATGAAACTGATCCAATTACTTTTGAGTCTGTGAAAAAGGAAGTATGTTAAAAATGACTGTAATTCCTAAACGGTTAATGCAATATTTTTGTTAAACTCCTTGAATTAAAGCTAAAGTCTTCAATCACATCTTAACTGCTATATTTCAAATCCATGGTGGTGCTCTACAGCGGCATACCTGACACTATTGTAAAATACATATATATATATATATATATATATATATATGTCCTAGGTAAGATTTGTATGTATGTGTCTGCATTAAACAAAATGAACTTGTCATTGTACGACTGGTTTGGAGATAATCCTGACTAATCCTGAGATGACGACAGCATAACTGTCAAACTGCAACTCCAAGGTCACAGAAAACCATTCCATCTTTAAAAAGTACCCTCAAAGTCACTTTTAGTGTCCTTCACACTGAGCAGTTTGCCTGCAATAGGCTTTCATTAATCCCACTAATGTGCTCAACAGCTTATTCTTGACATTACAGTCTCTTACTTACATTTTCTAGACATAAAATATACACGTTTTTGAGAATCGTACTGTAAGAAAAGGATTCAATCCTCAGAAACACTTTTAATCAACATCTGTCCTGTTCCTTGGTATAGGTAACTACTAACTACAAACACATTCAAATAAAAATTCAGTGTGCTAATTGGCCTCTAAAGCTGTATGGCATTTTATAGCCGGTGGCATGCTTGTTGGGGGTGGACAATATGATGATATATAATCGATATTGTGATAAATTATGTACTAATATGCTTTTCTGAGCATATTGTGGATATCGACAGTACTTAACGAACACTGACTAATAACATGTTTCAGTTCATAGTGAGCCTAACTAAGTTTAATTGGATTTAGTTCAGTTTGTAAAACATAAAAAACATTATAGTTGTGGGTTTATTATAGCATTTTTTATGTGTAGCACTGCAGGTTCTATTTTGGCTGTTCATCCTTATCAAATCTCAGTATCAAAACTAACACTGTGATGCGTGTCATGCATTCTGAAATGTCTTAAAGTATTGTGATGTCATATTTTGCCATATTTTCCACTCGTAAAGCTTGTATAATGAACTTCAGGTCTAAATGGAAAAAAGAGGGCATTTTTTAAATCGCCACTATCGCACCCTGCGGTAAACAAAAATGTTCCACACCTGATTTGTTTTGTCCTGTGTACATTTTTCTTCTGGTTGTCACTGCATCTGCTGAATTATAATATCATCAAAATGGAAATAAGATATTGTTATACAGTGCTACAAATAAGCTCACTCTCCTGTGTATTAAATGAGCTCACATTAAAATTAGTCTACTGTTAAACCTCAACACTGATATGTACCAACACCAGCCACTCAAACTGCAGCCTGAATCTGCCAAAGCTATATAGCAAAATAGTTAATATTGTTTAATGCATATAATTATAGTTTTTAAAATAATTTATAATTTTTATAATGATTAATAGCAGCTACTGAATAATCTATAGTAGTTACTGAATAAATCATAGTATGTATTGAATACTTCATAGCAGATGCTGAATCATTTATAGTAGTTACCAAATAATGCATAATAATTATTAAATAATTTATAGTTGTTACTGAATAATGTATAGTAGTTATTGAAAAATTCATAGTAGTTACTAAATAATTTATAGTAGGTATCAAATAATAGCAGTTATTGAATAATAATTAGTAGTGATTCATTTACAATAATTACATAATTTATAGTAATTTTATACTGAATATTTCATAGTAGTTACTGAATAATTTATAGTAGTTACTGAAAAATTAATAGTTGTTAATAAATAAATTATAGTAGTTATTGAATAATTTTTAGTTGTTACTAAATAAATTATAGTAGTTATTGAATAATTCATAACATATGCTGAATAATTTATAGTAGTTATTTAATAATTCATTGTTGTTTCTGAATAATTTGTAGGAGGTATTAAATAATTTATAGCAGTTACTGAATAAGTGAAAGTAAGTATTGAATAATTCATAGTAGTTACTGAATTATTTATAGTAGATACTGAATATTTCATAGTAGTCACTTATAAAATGACAGCAGAGTGTATTTAAACATTAATTAGAAAGGATTAATTGCTTTGCTGCGTTGACCATCAGGGCTGTTTCTGAGCGTTTCGCGGCCTTACGATGTCCTACAGCTCAGTCTCAGACTACCTGACCTGAACCTGGCGCTCACTCATTTCCTTGATCTCAGTGAACAGATGTTTTTCCTTCTTGCCTGAGGGCCGTCTCTAATGATGAAATCAAACACCTTCATCATCCTCGTTTCACATACACATGTGAGATTGACTAATTAGGAAGGTTGTGTAATGAAATATGCTCATCATGCCAGTGTGACCCTGAGGATCCTATCATGCTTGAATGAATCCTCAGCAGTGCTGGTGATAGACATTAACCATCGGACTGTAGTTACAGTGCAGTAACACTGTGTGGTCTGCCGGAATGCATGACCAATAAAGAGGCCATTTCAATGCTTTTGAGGCTCTCGTGGCGCCTTTGCTCTATTGTTGGGGGATTGTGAGGTCAACATATCTGTCCTCACGCTCTCTGGGTGGGTGATGGTCCTCCCTCTCCCCCGCCATCACACATAGTGTGATGCTAGCCAATGGGTGCAGCTGTTGGCTGATGCAATACAATTCGTATTTAGCATATCCTCAATGATGTTTTGTTAACAGCAGTTTGAAAAGATTGTGGTGGAGCTTCATGTGCCTTGAAGAACGTGCTAGTACCCTTCCACCTTGGTAGAATGGAGGGAGGCCTAGCAAGTGGGTGGAAGTAGACATTGGGGTAAGAGAAAAAAAAGAAATCCTGCTTTAAATCAATGTTAAAGTCAATTTTTAATTAATATTGTTGAATTTAGATCATTAGACCTCATACAGTAATCCAATACACAGAAATCTAAAATGAAAATGACCTTTTCAGGCGGCTTTATAAAACTAATTTCCTCTGAAAGTGTGATGTCATTCAGCGGTCAGTCTCTGTTTAGTTGCGTGAACCATATAATTGAAGGCTCTGCCTCCGTGACACTTGAATTACGGTGATTAATGGCCAGATAAAGCAATTAAAATGTGTCATTGAGTCTGGATTGAGGCAGAGCAGGACTGACAGATCCAGGCAAGAGTATTCAAAAAATGAAAGAAACGTTATTACACTCATTTTCATCATTCTGTTCTAAC